AAATTGAAACAAAGGTATTTTACAGGTGTCTGTATTCATTTTGGGGGTGCCTGGCTGGCTCAGTCGGTAGAGCATGCGAGTCTTGATCTCAGGGTCGTGAGTTCAAGCCCCACATTGGGCATGGAGCTTACGTAAAAAAAAAAAAAAAAAAAGATTTATTTATTCATTCTTTTAAAATTAATAATCTCACATGTGAAATAAACTTTTACAAAAATAACTATGTTTTCCAAAAGAAAAACTTTTTTTCCCCCGTAAGAAAAGCCTTTTACTGAGGAGTGTGACACTGTTTCAAACTTTGGTGGATCTCTTTAATGTGTGGCTTTAAAGAAGACAGCTGGACGCTCACACCCGCCTCTTCTGCACTGGGTCTCTGGCGGTGGGTTGTTTTGGTTGAAGTCTGCAAAGAAAATCTAGGTCGCGCTGATAGTCATCGGAGAAGAGGACATCACAGGGCCCCTGGAAGGGACTAGAGAACACACTTCGAGAAATGCTGATCTAATGGTGATCTATGTGGGTCTCTGCTCACTTTGCAGAAGGCCAGTATCCCTAACCTCAATCCCATCATCTCTGTTCCCTCTGGAACAAGTCCTTAAGCCTGATTCTTCTCACTCAAGTGACATGGGAACCCCACTTAGGCGAGGTGGCATGAGCTGGCCATTGGGCCCCTTGGTCCTCTGCAGGTGACACTCTCCAAGCAAAGTCGCCTCCTGCGGAGACCCAGACACTCCTCCCCATCCCCCTCCTGTCTGCCTCCCGCCTACCCCCAGCCCCCAAACAACAGCTGAATGAACCCCGACAACAGCGGCCCGCCCCGGGGTGCTGGGACCACTGTCAGCGGGCCAGGAGCCCAGAATGACCACGAGGGCAGAAGGAACGGAATGGGGGCTCTGGGAAGAACATTCTGCCCAGAGCTACCCCAGCTTCCAGGGTTCACAAGGAGGGTTTTCTTGGTCCTCCCCCGATGGAAGGCCTCTACTGGCCTGTAGAGGAGGGGAAGGGGAAGACGGGGCAGGGCTGGTAGGAGCAGAGAGCCCAAGCAGTCAGCCAGGCCAGGGTTTTCAAACTTCGCTTTGGCCACAGAACTACTTTGGCGGGTTGTTTTGTTTTGTTTTGTTGTTGTTTAAAGATTTTATTTGTTTATTTTTTTTTTAAGATTTTATTTATTTATTTGACAGACAGAGATCACAAGGAGGCAGAGAGGCAGGCAGAGAGAGAGGAGGAAGCAGGCTCCCCGCTGAGCAGAGAGCCCGATGCGGGGCTCAATCCCAGGACCCTGGGACCATGACCTGAGCCGAAAGCAGAGGCTTTAACCCACTGAGCCACCCAGGCGCCCCAAGATTTTATTTGTTTATTTGACAGAAAGCTATCACAAGTAGGCAGAGAGGCAGGCAGAGAGAGGAGGAAGCAGGCTCCCTACGGAACAGAGAACCCGATGTGGGGCTCGATCCCAGAACTCCGGGATCATGACCTGAGCCGAAGGCAGAGGCTTTAGCCCACTGAGCCACCCAGGTGCCCCTTGTTTTGTTTTTTTTTTAACCAAAGGGAGGCCAGCAGAGCTGCTCTGTCGAGAAATGGGTCCCAAGCCTTGAGGACTCTTCTGGCGTCTCTCGTGTTTGCCATCAGTCAGCCCCAAGATCTTGAAAATATGGTTTGGTCACTACGAGTGTGGTTCATCAGCCCATTTCACAGATGTGCCAACAGAGCCCAAGAGGGAAGACGTCCCTGGCCGACCGACTGTCAGTGGGTCAGGATTGGGTAGACTTGGAATGTGGTGCTTTCTGCAGGGGCCCTCAGGGACAGGGAGAAGAGACCAGCATAAGACGGGGTGCATGCTGAGCAGAGGGGTACACAGGGGCAAGGTGGGGGAGGCAGAGGCTGTGTTCAGGCAACAATTCACAGAGGGGCAGCCCAGCCTGCAGGACAGGCAGGAAAGGAAAGGTAAATCTATCTTCTGTCCTTCTCCTGTGGCCACAAATCCAGCCTCTGACTGTGACAGTCACTGCTCCTCTGTTTCCACCCATGGGTCCCTGCCCTTCCCTCACCTCCATGCCCCAGGAAAGGGAAGCCTTGGCCCTATAAACTTGGTCTTGGCCCTCCAAGACCCTAGAACAGAGGCCCTTTGACGCCCCCCCCCCCCGCCACCCCCTGCAATTTCCTACATTCCCAGCCTCCTCCTGCCGCAGGGATGGTGGGCTGCACTTTTGCACATACCTGAGTTTGTGTTCCGAGATCCTGTGGGTCCGGGCCCTGCTGACCATGAGGCCTAACTCCCAGGTTTTCTGGAGAGAGAGGTCGTGACTTCTGTCACCTTCTCAAGTGGGTCTGTGGTCCAAAAAGAGGTCATGAATCACTGCGTGAGGAGAGGAGGGGTCTTGCAGAGGGGCAGGGGTGGGAGGGAAGGATTGTAGAGTGGGGAGAGCTGTGTCGGTGATATTCTTTCCTACAGGAGGCTTTATGTGTTACCTGGTTTTATTCCTCTCACCTATCTGTGACGGGGGTGGTCACTGGCTCCATTTTACAGATGAGGAAACTGAGACTCAGTGACATGAGGTAGCTTGCCCAGGACACAGCCCTGGCCGAGGGATGGAACAAGCCAGGGTAGGGACAGAGGCCTAAGATGGTGTTTTATTTAGTTCCACGAAGGCCTTCAGTTCTGGGACGGGCAAAGCCCCTCCCTTTGCCAGCTTCCGCACCAGCCCTTGAGCCCCGCATCTAGGTCCCCAGGAAATTATTTCGGCAGCCAGAGAACCTGACAGAGGGCCTCTAGCCTCCGAGAGTCAGTCCTGCCGAATGGAAGACAAGAGCCCCAAGACTGGCCCTTGGTGTCCATTCCTTTCTAACAAGGAGAAGGGAGCAAAGTGTCCCTTCCATGGCAGGTAAGACCCAGCCAGAGGGTGGGTTCAGCAAGTTTCCCCAGCAAGTGCCCAGGCCCCTCCAGATGCCCCCGGCAAAGACCCTTTCTTTCTTTGCCCTTAGAAATGTCAGTCACCCCCACCATTCCCGAAATTATTGTTTAAAAAATCTTTACTGGGGCACCTGCATCTGCCTTCGGCTCAGGTCGTGATCCCGGGGTCCTGGGTTCGAGCCCCACATCAGGCTCCCTGCTCAGCGAGGAGCCTGCTTCTCCCTCTCCCTCTGCCACTCGGTCCCCCCACTTGTGTTCTCTCTCTCTGTCAAATGAATACATAAAGTCTTAAAAAATACAAAAAAAAAAAAATAAAAGCATGTTTACTATATGTGATTTTTTCCCTCTCATTGTTATTGGGATATAACTGCGTTAGAGCCTTGTGTAAGTTTAAAGTGCACAGAATGATGATTGACTTCCATACGCTGAAACGATGACCACAGTAAGTTCACATCCTTACCTCATGTCATTTTGGGGAAGGGGGAGAAAAGACGTGTTTTTTCTTTCCGACGAGAACTTTTAGGATGTGTATGCTCTTTTTCATATTCCAAATCCGTACTTCAGTGCTAACTAGACCGTCATGTCGTTCATCCCATTCCTGAAACCCCGGGCCTTAGTTTCTCCATCTGTAAATTGGGAGTCATGATGCCCAACCTACTTGCCTTACTGGGGTTTCTAAGAATCACATGGGGAAAGTGTTTGGAAAAGTTCAGGATCCCCCACTGACATGACAGGGAGCAAACCAATGCAGGGACTCACCCATCAGGTGACATTTCATCTCCCCAGGGTGTGGGATCCTGGCCACCCAGCTCAGGAGCCTTCCTCCTGTGAGTGGTTTGGTGGGGGGGTGCCTAGGGGCCTAGAGGGTGAAGGCAGCACAGATGGCTCATCCTTGCTTTCCCTGCCCACCCTCAGTGGCCTCCTTGGTCCTCACGGTGGGCTGTGGGCAGGAATGTCATCATTCCTGCCATGGCCTGGTCTGGGCAAGGCACCAAGCTGAGGACAGAAACCACAGTCCCACCCGATGACAACAGAAACCAGGGACAGGTGTTGAGAAAGTCATGGTGTTTACCCATGTCCTTTCACACGTACAGGGCATAAAGTTTATTCTAGCCCTCTAGGGTAGAAAACCATGTTTCTCTGCTTCTCTAAAGCGATTAAGGCTCTTTCAACTTGACTGGTGGAGAATTCAAGCATTAGTCGTGTTTGGGGAGCCTACTTTTTCCTTGGGGTGGGGCAAGAATCTTGGGGGTCTTAGGCCAGAACACCTGGAGGAGGGCTTCTGGGTCCTACTCCACACTGGAGACTGTTCTTAGCCAAGTCCATGGGGGCAGGTGGGCAGGAGTATCGCCAGGGGCTCCCAGCTGGGGCCCTCAGAGTGTGGTGCCCCCCCAAACCCTTGTCCCTCCTCAGGCTTGGAAAACCTCTGCTCCCAGCCCGCTCAGGGCCCCTTTCCCCCATGCTCCCTCTCCTCCCTCCCACTTGATATCCTTTCTAAAGGAGCCCTGATGGGGTTTTCTTCTGGGTCCCCGGCAGTTTTTCCTTGCAATCCCGTAATCCAGAAACTTGCCCCTCCAAACCCCAAGGCAAAGGAGCACTGAGGTTGGGTCATCTGGAGAAGCAGTAGTACAGATGACCTCAGAAACATGAAAAAAAAACAAAAACAAAAACAAATCATTATCAGTACATGGGACCCTATCACAGAGCAGGAGAATTTATGCCGAACGCCGTTTCCAAGGTTTGCCCTATGTAGAAAAGCAACCTCTTATACAATGGCCAGCCTGCCTTTGGCTTCCTCCTGGGTTGGGTGGGCTGGAGGAGTGGTCTTCATCCAACGTTGGAGGGCTTGGGAGATGTGCATGCACTGGGAAGACCATCTCTCCAGGAGTTTTCTGGCCCTCTGGGGGAGGTTCTAAGATGCTTCCTTGCAACTAGGAAAGCTTCTTGAAGGTTAGGGGTGGGTCTCCTCCCTGGCCAGGGTGTGGCGGGGGGTGGGCACTAAGCCACCTCCAGAGGGCTGTTTTGGGTGTGTTGGGTGGGACTCAAGGGTAAGACTGGGCCGCCCCTGACCTCTGGGCATCCTTCCCTCTTGCAGGACCTGGGCATGGAGTCGACCTCTCTAGACGACGTTCTGTACCGCTACGCCAGCTTCAGGAACCTGGTGGACCCCATCACACACGACCTCATCATCAGCCTGGCCCGCTACATCCACTGCCCCAAGCCGGTAGGGCAGCCGTGGTCTGAGCCGGCCACCTCTGGGGGTGGGATGCGGGCGCCTTTCTGGCCAGAGCAGCTAAGGCTCCAGGGAGGGCTGGTCGTTACTGCCCGGGGCCCAAGGAGGACAAACCAGTGGGGCCTGGGGTGCCCACCCTGTCCTAAGGCCCAGCATCCATGAGCCCAGGTTTTGTTTGACCCGTGGGGGTATTAAATCTGGACTCATCGCCAACATTTAGAACTCAGACTATTTCACACATCTTTCCCTGTTCAGCTGCCCTTGAATAATGGGACGCTCCTACAGCAGGGAACCCTCATTTTATGGGACTGGAGCTGAGTAGCCACACCTGTGATGTGGGCGAGGACCGCCATGGACAGTTGTGTGCGTTGTACCTTGCACAAAGACAGGCACACGCCAAGGTGGCAGGAGACAGTTCAGTTCCAGCCCTCTCTCTGCCACCAACTCACAGGCACTGGCTCAAGCCTATGTCCGTCTAGTGGTGGACCTCTTCCTACTTGCACAAAGGCGCCATGTAAATCTAGCAGTGACCCCACTCGGTGCTTTCCAGGGCCTCAGTCCTCAGCACACCCAACGGCCTTCCTCTCGAAGGCTGAATGTCATTTTACACACATCCCCCCACTTTGCTCATGCCCACGTCTGCCTGGCTTCCAGAGCTGAGAAGGGAGAGCTCCGAGGGCGGATGATGCTTAGCCAACTTCCAGATGGGAGCGCCTGCCCCCCTCCTCATGGGGTGCCGGGCCAGCTTACCCAGCATGACCCCGGCAGGGAAGGGGAGGGCCAGTGTGGGGGCAGCTCCACTCTGGAGCGCTTCTCTCCCATCCCTCATTTTCCAGCAGCTTCCAAAAGAAGGGCTTCCTCTGTGACAGGGCCAGGAAGCCTAGAGCAGGACCCAGGAGTGCCTGAGGGTAGCTTTTGCTTCCAGAGTAGGATTGAGAAGAGGGAGGGCATGCTGGTCAAACCCACCCTCCGTTGGCCTGAGCACAGACTTGAGCGCAGGCAACATTGTTCTGGAGCTGGGCCTCCATCCGGGCCTCTGTATGCAGCCTTCTCTCTGGCTCCTGGGGCTGTCTGGGGCCAAGGTTCTGAGGTGAGGAGCGAGCTCTGAGCCGTTGGGGGAGGAGGAGTGTTGGGGCTGGTGGTGGGATGCAGCAGAAGGCAAGGATACGGGGCTCAAATAGGGGACGTAAGAAAAAGCGGGTAAGGAGGGTTATCAGGCTGGGAGCCTCGGGGCCTGGGGGTGAGGGGCTGGCACCAGGAGCCGCAGGGGAACCAGCCGGGCTTGGAATCACCTTCCCTTCTCATTCCCATCCTACCTGGCTCAGCCTGGGGAAGCTGTGAGCAGGGTCTGTCTGAGGCCTCGCAGGTGCCAGACCTCTCTCTGCCTTTTCTGGACCGTGAATTCAAATGCCCCCAGGTGACGGGTGACCAATCACAGGGCACTTAGAACAGCTCAAGAGGAGGGATGTTATTTTTGTGCCCATTTTGGAGTTGAGGAAGACCAAAGTCAGGTAATGAAGCAATCTGCTAAAAGGGACACAGGTGTGATTGGACCCAGTTCTGGGTTGGTTGCAGGCTGGTGCTCAGGCACCGGACCCCTGAGCTCCCAGTGCTTCCAGTGCTCCCAGTGCTCAGGGTGGGGCCAGGGGGGACTTGTGGGGCTGCATCTGGGCCGGAGGAGGAGGGCTTGCAGGTGGGTAACTGCCAATGCAAACCACAGGACACGGGAGGTGCCCCAAGGGGTTCTGGGCTGAGACCTGTCCCCTCCGTCTGGGTGGGGAGTACAGGGGCTGTACCTGGGGGGCTCTGAGCTCAGGCTGCTACAACACATTATCCCTGACTGGGTGGCTTAGAATCAACAGAATGGTATTGCTCACAGTTCTGGAAGCCAGAAGTCCAACATCAGGGTGCCGGCAAGGTCCGGTTCTGGCGAGAGCCCTCTTCCCGGTTTGCAGACAGCCACCTTCTCATTGTGGCTTCATGTTGGCAGAAAGCAAGCCAGCTAGCTGTTTTCTTCTTCCAACCCTCATGACCTCATCTAATCCTACTCCCCCCCGCAAAGGTCCTACCTCCAGACACCATCACCCGGGGATGGGGTTCAACCTATGAGTTGGGGGGTGGGGGACACAAACATTGCCACCCACCCCCCCAAGCCCCCACTCCCCATCTCCCACCCCCCCACCTCCAGCATGGGGTAGATTTCTTTCTTTCTTTTTTTTTTTTTTTAAAGATTTTATTTATTTATTTGACAGAGAGAGATCACAAGTAGACAGAGAAGCAGGCAGAGAGAGAGAGGGAAGCAGACTCCCTGCTGAGCAGGGAGCCCGATGCGGGACTCGATCCCAGGACCCTGAGATCATGACCTGAGCCGAAGGCAGCGGCTTAACCCACTGAGCCACCCAGGCGCCCCATGGGGTAGCTTTCTTAGGCCACTTCATTAGCTGAACTGAACTTTCCTCAACTCCAAAGGCACATAACAATACCGTACCCTATAGAGCCGTGGCTGGGGGGTGGGGTTCAGTGAACTGATTCTCTCCAGAGTGTGCCTGGCAGGACTGAGCACCCTCTACCCAGAAGCTAAGCTGTGCCTAGTCAGTGAGCACCCATCACAGGCCAAGCAGGGTGCTCAGACCCAGCAGGTCTGTGGTGGGACATTGAGGCAGGGATTGGGCTCAGAGTCTTGGAGAACAAGGGGACGGCCTGGGATTTCCTGATTTTCAGAGCAAGTCAGGGGTGTCAGCCCGGTCGGAGGCCCCGGGGCCTGGCTGGTTCCCCTAGCCATACCCAAGGCCATGTGGCCGGAGAGGCCCTTTGGAAGGGCTCTCCTGGTTGTAGTTGAGGTCAGGGCTGAAGGTCCTGGCTCTGGGCCCCCGAAGCTGGTGATAAAAGCAGCCTCTGAGTGCACTCACCCCAAAACGTGAGCTGGCTCGGGGTTGGCCAGGACTTCCTGTTCTTAGATCTTTCATCTGAGAACTTCAGATCAGAGATGTCAAAACCATCAACCTCAAGGGGCCGCCTCCCTCAATGGCGATGCGGGACAAAGGAAATAGCCCTTCCTTGTCCAGTCTCGGGAAGGGTCCACCAGACCACTAACCCCACGACTAAGATGACCCCCCTCGAATGAGTCCCAACCTACCCAAAACCCCCTCTGGTGTCCCACCTGGACATGGGCCTAGGCCCTAGATGGGGGTAGGACTGTGCATGCCCCGAGAAGGAGGGGACAGGCAAAACCCCATCTTGTCCATGACTGTGTGTTGATTCATCCACAGCCCAGCTTCCAGCTCAAAAGTCACCCACCTCTTGGACATTTCTGCCTGGGTGTCCCTGAGTCACCACCCCTCCCCCACCCAAAACATCACACCACCAGCACAGATTATGTCGCAGGCAAGTTCAGAGACCCCTTCCTCCCCTGGGCCCCAGTGCCAGACCCGCACATCCCGTCATGCCTCCCAGCCCTCTGTGCTCTGGGAGCAGCCAGGGAGCAATGTGCAAGGTCAAAATCAATGTGGATCCCCCAAGAACCTTGCTGAGAAACCTCCCACGTGGGCTGGTGTCCTACTTTCACTAAAACCCAAACCCCATCCGTGGTCCCCCGCCCGAATCTTCTGTCTCATCCTCTCCACTCCGCTCACTCAGCGGCTCGGGCCACCTGGGCCTCCTCTCGGTTCCTGGAGCATTCAGATCTCTCCTGCCTCCAGGACCTTGCTGCCTCCGCCTCTGCCTGGGCTCCCCAGCTTCTCCATTCAGACTCAGCCTCTCCAGAACCTTCTGTGACCAGCCTCGTCATTGACACAGCTCCCCCAGTCACCCCGTGCCCTGTTGAGGACTTCATTTCTCTCACTGGTCTCCCAAGTTATCTGGCTTATCTCTTTGTCGCCTGACACACGGTTGGCCGTCCACCGTGAGAACAGTGGTATTGCCGAAGGGGGAGTAGATGGCATCTGTCTTGTTCGCAGTGACATCTTGCATCAGGCAGGGCTTAGTACAAGCTGTGACCAGAGCCATGAGAGCTCCCTTCCCAGGACAGTGCTGTGTCTTCTATTGCTGTGTAACAAATGACCCCAGAACTCCACGCTTTAAACGGTCCGCATTTATCCCTGGGCAGTCTCTACTGTGTGACTAGGTAATTCTAGCTTGGGGTCCCTCCAGACAGTGGCCAGGGCTCTAAGGATCTACAGGCAGGCCCCCTTCCGGGCTGGCCCACTCTTTGGCTGCTGGCAGGAGGCTTCAGTTTCTTGCCACATGGGTCTTTCCATAGGACAGCTTGAGTTTTCTCTTAACGGCAGCGGGCTTAGCCCAGAGCAGGTGATCCGAGAAAAGAACAAGGCAGACACCACAGTATCTTTTATGACCTTGCCACATTCTATGCATCACCCAGATCAACACTGATGCAGAGCAGGAGATGACGGGAGGGGGCGGTGACAGGAGGCCAGGGTCCGTGGGGCACTCTTGGTATCTGGCTGCCTCACATGCTGAAGCCGGGAGGGAATGAGAGTAGGAAGGATCCTTCCTCCTGCTCTCTGGTCTCACTCCAATCGCTCTCATTGGCTGAACCCACCTGGAAGTCGGGGCAGGAGGCCCCGCGATGCTGTCTATAGCACTCAAGTCTCCCCATATCCAGAGCAGGATCCAGCTTGTGGGAGGAAGGACGGTCAATAGCTGAAGAATGAGTTTCTGAATGAGTGAGGGAAGCCGTTGGCCGGCACTAGTGGAGGGCTGTGCTTGTTTGGGGGCCTGGGGAAGCCAAGATGGCGGATGGGAGCCCCCATCGGACAGGCGACAGGTGGAGCAGCGTGGGGTGCTGTGGCCCCTCCTGGAGGGGACTGCGGTCTGCCTTGAGCATCCTTCCTGACAAGTCAGCCAGAGTCCCTCAGGGTCCTCTCCAGCCCCCTGGCTCCGGTCAGGGGCAATAGGAGGCCCCAGTGCTTCGGGACCCTTGCTCCACCCTGCAATGCCCAGCTACCCAAGACTTGCATCTTGCCCCTTCCTTCCTTCCTTGGGTGGCAGGAAGAGCTGTAGAATTAATTCCACAAACTGCCTTTGAGCCCCCGGTGTGGGTGAGGAGGGCTTTTTGGCGCCTCAAGCTATGAAAATAATTTGTCCTGATACCGAGGGCTTTCGTGGGGCCCAAAGACAGCCAAGCTTGGAAGGAGGGGCTAGAAGTACAGACGACACGCTGTGCAGACATCTCTCCACCCCTCCTCTGGGCTCCCCCGGGTCTCACTCTCCATTCCCGAGGGCTGCGAGTCTACCGGTCGGTGTCCAGCCCTGGGAGCAGACGGGGGGAGGGGGGTGTCTCGTCGCCAGGAAAGAGCTGATTGGCTGCGCTCCGCCAGGGCCCGCTTCTGGACCAATCAGTTGCAGCGTGGGATGGGGTCTGGTTTCACAAAGGGGCTGCTGGGCCTCACCACTTTGAGGAGCAGAGAGAGGCCCGCCCACCGCGGAGCGCCGGGTGCGGGGCGCACGGACCGGGTAACTTGTGGGGCCGGTGGTCACACTCCTCGGCCAAGGTTGCACAAGGGGCGCGTGGCTGCTGTTCCTGGAAACCACGCAGGAACGACACTTTCTCCTCCTCTGCCTCCTCCCTCCCCTTCCAGCCCCTGCCTTCCCCACCCTCTCCTTCTCCAGCTCTGAGTCCGTCCTGCTTTGTCCTCTTCTCCGCGGGAGGGAGACCTGGAGTTGGGGGGTGGGGGGACTAGATGGGCTTGCTTAAGGCTTTTGCGGGTGCAAATGATAGAAACACCTTGAACCCACCTAAGCAAATGATTTATCCCCAGGAGGGCAGCGCAGGGCGGGAGGGCAGGTTGGGAAGGATGCCAACCCCGGAGCCTGGCTTTGCGTCCTCATTCCATCTTACACGTTGTGGGGCTTGCCTGTCTAGTCAGCTTCTTTATGCCTCAATTCCCTCCTTTGTAAAGTGGGGGTGATAGTAGCCCCCGTTTCATAGGATCCTTGTGAGTTACAGGACCGTCATGAGCTCGTGCGCGCAGTGCGCAGAGGCGACGCCTAACCTAGTAGAAGCGCGGTAAATGTTAGCTGCTGTTTATGTAGCCCAGGCAGACGGAAGCGAGCTCTCCCTTCTATGAGGACACCAGCCCACGCTGAGTCTCAAATCGCCTGTGAGGTGACCGTATCTGTTGTCCTTGTTGGTGAGGAAACAGGCTTGCTCAGTCTCCCGGGCGGGGAACCGCGACGCGCGATCAGCCCATTGCGGCGCCTTGCACACAGCTGCCCCCTTGTGGCAGCGCCGGCGCACTGAGGCGGCTGCTTTGCCGCCTTTCCCTCTTTGTTTCTTCCTTTCTCCGCCCAGCGACTCAGGCCCAGCGGCTCCGGCCCAGAGGCTCAGGCCTGGAGGCTGACACCCCCCCGCCCCCCACGGAAGTGTTTGAAGGAGCAGCCGAAGCTTTGGAGCTCGGTGCTCATCTGTGGGGCAGGTGCCGCGGGAGAGTGGCAATGTTCTGGCCGCGGGGTGGTCCCAGGAGTGATGCCGGACCAACCACCCAATCCATCCCCAGCCCCGCCCCTCTGAAGAGTTTGCCCCGGTGCTTCTCCACCTTGGCGACACAGGAATCATATATGGAGCTTTTAAAAAAATCTCTGCATGCAAGCTGCCCACTCCTGCTGGGGGTGGCCCAGGCAGGGTTTTTTAAAGCCCCTTGGTAATAATTCCAGGATGTAAGGACCCCAAGGGAAGAACCACAGCTCTAAAGGCGCCGTCTCTGCTGTCGCCTGCCATCTTCCGTTTGGCCTCCAGAGTTGGCCTTCACCAGGGCCCCCACCATGACCGCCCCTCCGTGCGCCTCTTCTGGCCAAGGCCTCCTTATCGGAGTCCCACCAACCCTTCTCCTTGGTGCCCATGGCTACACTGTGCCTTCTCCATCCCTTCCTGTCTGGTATGTCCTCCCCCTGCCCCTTGCTTTCAGCCTCACCTCATTCCACAACTGGAGGGTAAATCAGAGGCTGATGAGTGTATCTTGAGCCACAGCCTCATAAATCCAGTTACATCTCCCAGGAGGGACTCACAGACCCCCTCAGACTCCACGAGGCGCCAAATGAGCGCTCATTCCCCCCGTCTTGCTTTCTCATCCCCTTCTCTCCTGGAGCCGCTTGCCTTCTACCCAGGTCCTAAGCCCCAAACCTGGATCCTTCCTCATCCCCGCCCTGCCCACACCCTCTCCATCCTGGGCATTGCTCAGTCTCCATCACTTTCAGGGCTTTCTGTAGGCCCGGCACGGAGGCCCCAAACTGCACAAAGCAGATGGACCTGGCCCCGGACCACTGTCTGTCAGAGGGACAGTCCCAAAATGCAAACATGATCCTGCTGTTCTCCTCCGATCGAGCCGCTGCCTGCCGCTCCAGCTTCCCATCACACACACCCGAATGCGGAGGCTTAGCAAGAAACAAAGTCTGGAATCAGAACACGGCAACCCAAACATTGAGAGTGTAATCGCCTGAAGCGACAGGTGACATTTGTCAGACAGGCAGGCTGGGGCAGGAGGAATTGAGAACCAGAGATCAGAGACCGGAGGTGCTGTCTACACTGATTCTCTTCTGTCTTGAGCCTCTGTCTCCTGGAGCCCTGCTCAGATGTTTTACCTCTTTGGATATTCAACATCCCCCTTTCCTGCCTCTTCTCTCGTCTCTTGCCTTCAGGGTCTTCTTTTCTTGCCTTTCCAACAGCTCCAGCCCTGCTTTCTATGCCTCAGTTTCCTCCTTTGTAAAATGGGGCTAATGAGAGCAGTTCTGCTCTGGGGTGTCGTGGGAATTCTATGAAGTCCTAGCGTAAGGTCCATGTGCAGCAAACCAGGTGACAGATGATAGTGGCTTGGACCAACGTGGTAGTCTTGGAGGTGGTGAGATGTGACCAGATCCCAGATTGTCACCTGCTCCCATGCCTATAACATCCCCCAACCTCAAACCTTTGCACACATTTCCTCCTCACCCAGAGATGCCTCGTTTCCTCTCTCCATGCAAAAATCACGAACCCATCCACCCTGAAAACCCCAATGCACATCTGAGCCTGGGGAAGACTCCTCTTCCTCTACCCTGCCCGAGTTTTGCCTATCTACATTGCTCTTCTCATTTGGGACATTATTGACACAGTGAGCAAAACTGGAGAGCTAGCTGTGTCCTGAGCTATAGTCACAGCCCTGTGCAAATGGGGACTCATTTCATCCTTACAAAATGTCCCGTGTGTTGGGTTCTATTATCCCTTCACAGAGGAGGACTGAAGGTCAAGTGACTTGCCCAAGGTCACAGAGGAGGTGGCAAAGCAAGGGTTCACATCCACAAGGTTTGGCTCTGAGTCCATGCTCTTAAGTACTTAATAAGCTGCATCTCCATTAGCAGAATGTTGATGGTAACAACCTTCCGCTGGTCTTTATTGAGTGCCCGCTGTGTGCCAGGCACTGGACATGGGCTCAAGGTTGAACCTCACTCACTCTTGGACCCCCCTCTCCCAGGGCTTGGTGACTGTCTATTGAGCTGACTTCCCTTGGGACAGAGGTTGTCTCTCTAGCGTCTCTCTAAACCCAATGTAAGTTTGTCAGGGCCGCCATAACAAAATACTATTTAAACAACAGAAATTCATTTCCTCATAGCTGTGAAGGCTACAAGTCCAAGATCAAGGTGTTGGCAGGGTTGGTTTCTTCTGATTCCTCTCCTTGGCTTGAAGATGACCGGCTTCTCCAGGGTCCTCATGTGGTCTTTCCTCTGTGCATGTCTGTGACCTAATCCCTTTTCATGAGGACACCAGTCACGTTGGATAAGGGCCTACCCCAAATGACCTCATTTTAACAACTGAATTGCTCTGTGAGGCCCTATTTCCACATACAGTTGTAGTCTGAGATACCTGGGTTTAGGACTTAAATTTAAGAACTTTGGTGGGACACAATTCAGGACCTAATACCCAGGGTTTCTGGGGGTGCCTGGGTGGCTCAGTGGTTAAAGCCTCTGCCTTTGGCTCAGGTCATGGTCTCAGGGTCCTAGGATCAAGCCCCACATCAGGCTCTCTGCTCAGCAGGGAGCCTGCTTCCCATTCTCTCTCTGCCTCCTTATGATCTCTGTCTGTCAAATAAATAAATAAAATCTTAAAAAAAAATTAATACCCAGGGTTTCAAACTCAAATGCTGATGGGCTTGCAGCATCTCAATCAGTCAGTAGAGCATGGGACTCTTGTTCTCGGGTTCAAGCCCCACATTGGGTGTAGAACTTAGTTTTTTAAAAAAAAAAGTGCTGATGGGCCAGATTAGGATTACAGTAGACAAATGAATTGGGCTGGAAAGGACTTGGACACTCCTTTCTTGTTTATTTTCCTACTTTTGACATTTTCCCACGTGCACCATCATAAAAATATTTCCCTTTCTTTTTTTTTAAATTTTTTATTTCTTATTTTTTTAAGATTTTATTTATTTATTTGATAGAGAGATCACAAGTAGGCAGAGAGAGTGGGGGGAAGCAGGCTCCCCGCCGAGCAGAGAGCCTGATGCGGGGCTCGATTGCAGGACCTCGAGATCATGACCTGAGCCGAAGGCAGAGGCTTAACCCACTGAGCCACCCAGGCCCCTCCCCTTTCTTCTTTTTGCCTAGAACAATTGTCTGGTGCCTAGTAGGTGCTCAGTAAACCTTTGTTGAGCAAATGAGTGAGCAGAATGGCCCTGGCCACTGGGAAGAGGTAGGGACCATGAGGAATACTGGCTAAACACTCAGCTCTGGTCAATTGTCAGATTGTGAATGTAGAGTTTTATGCAAATCTCCATTTTGCCATGATAGCAACTAATTCACAGCCATGTGCAGGTCATTTTACAACCAACTGCTTTCTGCTTGGAGGCCCAGCAGGAAGAAGCCTCCCCCAGCTCATCCCTTGGAGAGGGGAAGCCGGAGGGGAGGGCCTGGTCTTTTGGGCCCTTGCCTGTGACTCAGGGCCTCCTGTGGTTGTCTCTGCAGGAAGGCGATGCGCTGGGCGCCATGGAGAAGCTATGCCGACAGCTGACCTACCACCTGAGCCCCCACTCCCAGTGGAGGCGGCACAGAGGGCTGGTGAAGAGGAAGCCGCAGGCCTGGTGAGTCTTAGTCCCCTGGGGCAGACCTGCCCCCCCCCACCCCAGGCCTCCTTCCACAAGGGCAGCCTAGAGCAAACCCACGCAAGGCTGGGCTCCTTGGGGCGATGGTGGGTGGGGGCTGGAATCAGAGGGGTTGCTCTGGAAGGTGCCTGAATGAGTCAGGGTTGGGTGGGGAGATCGGCCAGGAGGGCGCTCCAGGTGGGCATGAGGTATGAGGGGAGCTGCCGGTGGGGCCCTCCCTGCTCTGTGGGATGGGAGCCAGCACACCACCATTCAGAAGGGGTGGGTGGGGAGGAAGACATGAGGAGTTTCTAATTCCTGCTGTGCCAAACGTGGGCACTCCCACTGGATCCCCCACTTCTGGATGTCTTCTGGGGGGGGACCCAGGCTCTAGCCATGCCCCTGGGCCATGCAGCAATGAGAAGCCTCGAGAGTTTTATGGCCCCCTGAAGACTGGGGGCTTGGGGCACATGGGCACAGAACCCGTGGGCGAGATAGCTAGCACCACTGGAAGCAAGTAAAGGAGAGCCGCGAAGTTAGGTTTTCTGGAAGGAGCACCCCTGCCTTTCTAGCAAATGACCATGGGGGCAGAGTAGCTTGTATGCTTCCACTAGACTGGGCAGGGCCAGGACTGCCCTCCCTCACTGACAAGAGGTCTGGTTCCTCTTTCTCTTCTGGACTCTTCCACTCCAAAACCGGATTCCTTCCCAGGTGGAGGAAGAGAGAGTTAAGGATGGGGTTCCAGGTGGGCTGAAGTCAGAGCCTGTACATGGACAGAGCAGAGCAGGAGGACCCGTGGGACCTGGAAGTCATGAGGAGTCTGTGATCTAGTTCCTTAGGATTAAAAGCTCGAAATGTGACCTCGAATCCAGGAGCCTCCTCTTCTGTCTCCCCAACACAGCCGCTTGCTTTGTCCTTTCTTCATTTCAAAAGCCTCACTCCCCACATCACACTTGAATGAAATCCAAACAGGGTCCTCTGTGATGGGTGCTCGGCCCCTCCCTGGTCTCTCGCCTCCCATTTCCCCTCGCTGCAACCATGCTGGCCTTCCTGCTGTCTCACAGACGCCTCAGGGACTTTGCCCATGCCCTCCCTCTGCTGGAACTTTTATGAGACCCTTCTGAGGGCCCACTTTTTCTTCAAATGTCAGCTCGAATTACGTCCTCAGAGAAGCATTCCCTGAGTGGCCATGTCCAACCAAGCTCCTCTCACTTCCATCTCATTTGTTGTCTGTCTCCCCCGTCCCTGGTAGAGTGAAAACAGGGATCATGTCTGTCTTGTCCACGACTAGGACCTCAGTGTCTAGGACAGGGCCTGGCACGTAATGGGAGTTTAAAAACACTTGCTGAAGGATTGGATGGGGTAGGGGATATTACTGTCACCGTTTGGCCACAATCACCAAGCTGCTAAGTGGCAGGGCTGGCTTCAAACCCCAGGCCCAGGTTGTTAACCACATACTCCCTATCTCCCAGGTGTAATGGGTCTGTGCTTTATTTTACCCTGAACAAACGGCAGGCAATGTTTCAAGCATTTAGAGGTCACACCCTGAGAGGCAAGATGAGACTGGAAGCCGCCTTCCAGCTTCAGATCTCAAGGATACATGTTTTGCCAAGAAGTCCAAGCCGTGATCCTCGGGCTGCTCATATTGACATATGCTTTTTTCTTTTTAAAGATTTTATTTGACACACACAGAGAGAGAGAGAGAGAGAGAGAGATCACAAGTAGGCAGAGAGGCAGGCAGAGGTAGGGGGGAAGCAGGCTCCCCGCTGAGCGGAGAGCCCGATGTGGGGCTCGATCCCAGGACCCTGAAATCATGACCTGAGCCGAAGGCAGAGGCTTAACCCACTGAGCCACCCAGGCGGCCCGGACATATGCTCTTGAAACAAGCTGTGAGTCCCCCCCCTACCTTCCTCTCTTTCCCACTGTTGGGGTCCCAGGGCTTGCTTGGGGTACCTGGAAATGGGGGCGCTCTGGCCGCAGAGCAAGGTCCAGGAAGACAGAAGAGTAAGGAGTAGCAGACGGCGGGGAGTGAAAACCCGGCGGGGAGTGAAAACCCGTACAGAGCCCTGAGCCTCCAGGAGTCAGCACTACCCCCACCCCCAGGATCAGAGACCCTGCGCTCTCCCCTGCCGCTGCCCTACAGGGCTCTCCCTAAGGATTCCCCATCTGGTGGGCGAGATGGTCTTCAAAGCGCTGCTCTTGGGAAAGCGGGAAGCTCAGTCTAAGTGATTCATAATGGCCACAGCAAATACTCACTCCTCTCTCTGGTACGTGAGCACTGTTCTAAATGCTGGGCATCCGTTACCTTATTTCACTTAACAATTCTGTGGTACTCAGCTCCATTGTTCAGGTAAGTGACTGAGGCACAGAGAAGTTAAGGGACCAGAGCTCACACGAGCAAGAAGAGTTAAGATGCAAACCCAGGGGCATCTGGGTGGCTCAGTGGGTTAAGCCTCTGCCTTTAGCTCAGGTCATGATCTCAGGGTCCTGGGATCGAGCCCGGCATTGGGCGCTCTGCTCAGCAGGGAGCCTGCTTCCCCCTCTCTGCCTATTGTGATCTGTCAAATAAATAAATAAAATCTTAAAAAAAAAAAAAAGATGCAAACCCAGGCACTATGGCCCCAGAATGTACCCTTAGTCACTGCAGAAGCCTCTGGGCCTTTCCCTGGGGTCCCTCAAACTCTAGGCAGCTGGGCCCAGCCAGGCTGAGATGTGAGTATCGCCAGGGCACCAGAGGTCTTTGGTTTGTCCCGTCCCTGGAGCCGCAGGGTTGGGTGGTGGCCGCTGCTGCCTCCGGGAGGCCGGCCCCACTTGGTTGAACCTGGCTTGTCCCTTCTCCCCTGCAGCCTCAAGGCTGTCCTGGCTGGGAGCCCTCCAGACAACACTGTGGACCTGTCCGGCATCCCACTGACCTCCCGGGACCTGGAGCGGGTGACCAGCTACCTGCAGCGCTGCGGGGAGCAGGTGGACAGCGTGGAGCTGGGCTTCACGGGCCTCACCGACGACATGGTCCTGCAGCTGCTGCCCGCGCTCGGCGCACTGCCCCGCCTCACCACGCTGGCGCTCAACGGCAACCGGCTGACCCGGGCCCTGCTTCGTGACCTCACGGACACCCTCAAGGACCCCAGCAAGTTCCCCAACGTCACGTGGATCGACCTGGGCAACAATGTGGACATCTTTTCATTGCCCCAGCCCTTCCTGCTCAGCCTGCGCAAGCGCTCCCCGAAACAGGGCCACCTCCCCACCATCCTGGAGCTGGGCGAGGGCCCCTGCGGTGGGGAGGAGGCCCGGGATGGGACAGTAGACCAGGAGGACCCTGGGGGAGGCCCTCTGGATCCTGCCAAAGACCATGAGGGCGGGGAGACTGTAGGTACAGTTCAGACATGACACAGAAGTGGGGGTCCACACCAGGGAGTCCCGGCGGGGTAGGAGGACTGAGGCAGGCTAGGGGGCCCCCCGCCAGCAGCCTCAGGTAATCACCCAAAATTGGCCTGGACAACCCCACTCACCGGAGCCAGACTGTAGCATCTGGGAAGGGGGCTGTGCAATACTGCTCCAGTCCTCACTTCCCCCTCTTGTCAACCTCCTCTGCCTTTTGGCTCCTGAGAAGTCATGTATGGCTCAAGTCCCCAGATTAGTGGGTGGTCTTGTATGGAGATGAATGCTTGAGCTACTCTGGGTCAGAACTTAACCCCAGGCAGGGAGTGATAGTCCCACCCTACATCTAACCCAGTATTTCCTGATGGAACCTTTTTTCTCTGCCCTAACACCTGGCCAGGAGTCGAGTAGCGGCACTGACCAGCTCCCCAAAGACTCCCAAGAACCTAGTCCCCATCTGAGGTGGTGGTCTATCTCCTCCCTGTGAAGCCCTGAGGAACCACTTCTCAGTCTCAGCCTCCACTTAAGCCCACACCTGTCCCTGGGACCAGCCCCTGCGTACCCTTCAACAGACCATCCCAGGATGCCTACATACATGGCATATGCCCAAAAACCCCCGAACCCAGACTACCAGACCTTCACTAAGGTTTCCGTGTTCCAAGTCAGAGTACTTCTCTTGAAAAGGATTTTAAAAACCTTGTGGAGTCCCCCAGAAAGTCATCAGGGATACTAGGCTCACTCCCAAAAATCTTCTAATAAAAAACTTAAGACCATGAAAATGTGGTCAGACTTAACAACTCTTGGCAGATTTAGCGCCTCCCAGCAAGACAGCCAGGAGATGGGGATGAACTGGGGGTTCCTTGAATGGTTCTCACATCTCCCCCTTAATACTACCAGCTAAAAATCCATTCTAGGCACATTAAGCCCTAAAACCAAGGAAAAGACTTGAAGTCCAGGGATACTGGAGACCAACATTTTTTTTAACCTGAGAAAATTTACAGATGCCCATGGTGGTGACCAGAGCACAGGCAAACAGCAGACAGTTGAGAAGCATGGCCTGTCAGGCCTCTAGCCCAGTGACAGGTAGGTGAGATCCCAATTCAGGAAGGCACCAAGACGGGCTAGGTATTAAGCCATAATATGGGGACCCTGCCTGCCACGGCCCAGGTGTTTGGGCGAAGCACAGTGCAGAGCTTCGGGAGGTAGGCAGCTATGCAAAAGGACACAGCCCAAAGTGCTTTGGAACTTATACCCTCCAAGTCTGAAGTTGTTAGAGGGGAAACAGCTTAGGCTGACCTTGGAGAAGGTGAGAAGTGCTAATACCTTGACTGCTAATGTGACAGCAGTGACCACTTTTTCTTCAAATACATGTTTTTAAAAACCAGTACTAAAGACCATCCTTTATTGCAGTTTGTGGTAATTGCACATAAGTATCAGTTTCAGGAAGAAATATGTTTGCATCTTAAAGAACTCAGACCCTTACCCAACAGAACAAATTGATACAATATTTAAAAGTATAGAAGTTCTCTGGGTAGGAGAGATAAAAATACAGTATTTATAGTACATTACTAGAAAACTCAAGAATTCAATGACACCGACAGTGCTTACCCTACAGTTTGCCAAACACACTTGTTGGCTCTGCTTTTAAGATTAAGAGCCAACAAGAGTTGGTTCAAACTTTTAAGAGAACAGACTCCGCATCTCAGCACAAGGTAAGCACGGTTTCCACACCAACTGTTGAAGCCTGGGTTTTCAGTCCAAACTGATGGTGACCACAGGACCCCGAACTGCTGCAGCCTGGCTGACCATTCTCTGCAAAGACGGCCTGCAAAGAAACTAAGTATCAGTCTCACTTCCTGCTCCAACCACCAGTTATTCACAGTGTAAAAAAGGTATCTTCAGAAACCATACATTCACCACTATATAATCTGCCGGTAATTCCAGCTATTTTGGGTGATTTCATCATTTGATAACCTTTTTCTGAGAATCTATTTTAACAACACTAGCCGTTTATTCATTCTACCACGGGGGGTGGGGTCCTTGTCCTTGGAAGCTTACCTCTCCTTGGGCTGAGCTGCAGCCGCCACCAGCTTTCAAACTCCACACTGCGATCACCGTTCTTCAGCACACAAAACCTGGAGGGAAATGAACCGAGGCATCCCTAGTCAGGCAGCAGGTAACAAAGGCAGAGAAAAGAGTCTTGCTCATGAGAGCCTCAACTACAAATCCAGCCCATCCTAATGGCAGCCCTTAAGAACCTACTGGAGGTGTTTTTTTCGTTCATGAAGCCATGTGAAGTCTGTAAGTCCTAACTGGCTTTTCTGGGTGATGCAACCTTATTTCATCCCATCATTTTAACCCCACACACCTGCGCGGTCATCTCCAAGGACGAGGAAAGCTACATCTCAGCAGACAGGCAACTGGGACAGCATTTTAGAGCAGTGAGCTAACAAACTCCCGGGTTTCCTCTGCCCTCTGCTCCACTGCCACCATGAACCGTATCTGTATCTCCAAGATACGCTCAATGAAGGTCAAGGGCTACAGTAATACAAGGTTATTAGGTTAGCCGGCTAAAAGTGCCACTACCTGACCTAACCGGAAGGTCACATCATCTAACAGCCGGCCATGCAAGCTGTTCCACAGACCGAAGCTTACCTTAACGGCAGGCCAGTGCTCCTCCCTCTAACACTCAGCAGCTGGTCTCGATCTGATCACACACTGGTGACCCCGCAGCACTCATGTGCAACCTTGGTGAAGAGATGATGAGAAAAGGTCACTGCCCAAACCAGACCAACTTACTCCAGGGCGGCGGCAGCTGAGCAGAACTTGTTGACCGCAGTCAGCCAGGAACGTTATCGTCAGTTATCGCTTCTGACGGCACTTCCTATAGATGATTTCATCAGAGCAGTCAACACCTCCCTGCTCCCCAGCACCGCTCCCGACACCTGAACGGGACCTGGAACTGAGCCCTGATTGCTTGAGGAACCACGGGGGCACTGGCCGCTTTAAACCAAGCATTTTAACGGAGTTCACCTCTGGCGACCGCTGCGGTAGAACAGCTCAGGGTCAGCAGCCGCGCCCTGCCATTGCCACTCCAAGCGCCAGGCTACGTGTGCAGTGCAGAGGAGCACAATTACGGCCCAATGCATCAACCGTGAAGGGGCAGCCAATGCCGGTGCACTCAGACCAACGAACACGGAAAAGCGAAGTAAGGGGTTAGCGCAGTCCTGCCCACACTGGGTCCTACCTCCGGGTGGGAGACCGCTCCTGGCCTCAAGGCACTGCAAGGCATGTGCCACCTGGAACACGGGAGGGCGACAGGCGTTAAGGGCACGTAGTGGCAGTGCTGTTCAACCCGACCGTTGAGGCTTCCGCGACCGCGGTCAGGCAGGCATCAGAGTCGTCAATTATCGCTTCTGACGGCACTTCCTAACCCCAGGATCATCAGCACCGTCGGGCAAGCCCTCCTCGACGTCCCATGCGCCACGCTCCCCCGGGCCGCGCTTACCCAGTCCTCCCGGGTTGGCGCACCTCCCACGCCGCGTCCGGGGAGCAGGGAACCGGCCTTCGGGGACCTCGGGCTCCGGAGTCCACGGCGGCAGCGGCTCTGCTGGAAACACGCGCGCGGGCCTTGAGCCTCAGTCCCCGGCAGCCCTGCCTGGCTCTCCCCAACCGCCGTGCCCGCCCCGAAACCCGGAAACGAGCCATAGGGAGCCGCCCTGCGCCCCCCACAGAAGCTTCCTGAAAACAACTTCTCAGAAATTAAGAAACCTTTAGCTCCTTCGCCCTCGCCGCCAGCTACTAGGCCCAATCACACACCCCACTCACCTCCATTTTCACGGTACGGAAAAGATGGCCTCTTTTGCGGCCTGGGCCTTTAAGGAGTCGGAATATTCCATTCTTCACAGAAGGGAGGGTAATACTGGCAGAGACTCACGGGAACGTCCAGCCCATTTCACGATGCAGACTCCGCCTCACCACCCGGGGACACCCCCCTTCATTAGAGCCTATGGTCTCTTCCACGTCCCCGGGAATTCTGGGTCCCGCGGCGCCCGGGGTGCTCAGGGCGCATGCGCGGGGGCTGGATCGTACCTCCTGAGCTCCGTGGTTTGGAGGACGTTTCTCAGCCTGTGTGAGCTTCCGATGGCTCGTGTGGTAAATGAAGCTGTCGGCACTGCAGAGGCTGTTCTGAGGATCACATGACATACCACGCTTGAAACCCTGCGGAGCCTTGGCAGGCAGCAAGCATTCATAAAATAGTAGCTGCTTCTCATTCTTCCGGCTGCCTGTCTGCTCTCTCCCCACGGCCATTGCCGGATATCCGCGGAGCCTTTCAGAACGCCTGCGCGCCGACAGCTCGCATCACTCCCCTTGAGAATGACCTCTAAGGAGCGAGCAGACGTGTCTTAGCTGAAACCGCTTCCATCCCCTCCGCCCCTTCTTTCCTGATTCCTTAGGACTCCTGCATCCGTTCCCCAACCCACCAGCGATGGAAACCTCTCCCACTCCACGAATGCTTTCCTTTCAGCCTTTGCACATGCTCCGGCCTCTGCCACTTAAAAGCCATTCAGTGCAATCGCATTTTATAAACGCTCATTACTCTGAGGGAGAGCCGTTCGTCTGGACGAGAAAACTGGAAAAGCCATCGCGAGACAATTTTCTGGTCTTAGAATTTTAAGGATTTTAATGGTGGGGCGGGGGCTTCCAGCAAAAGCCAAGTCACGGGGTTAAATAAACGGGTTCCTCGGTCTGCCTGAAGAATTTGGTAAAGGTCCTAAGGAAGCATGGGGGTGCAGCAAGGGTATCGGGGAAGAGGTGTCTGGAAATTCGGGGTCAAAACCGTGGAGGACTTGGGGAGGCCAGCTAGGGCATTCTGTGGGCATTGAAGGAGCCTCTTAAGCCTTCAGGGCACAGAAACACCCTAAGATGTTTCTCTTCCTCTTCCATTTTAGGAAGGCCCCTCTGCCTGCCCTGCAGAACAGCTTGGAGGAGTAGGAACTGAGCAGGCAGCCCAGAAGAGAAAGAAGCTAATAATCCAGGGCCTGAAGGAAGCCATGGAGCTCAAAAGCTTTGAGAGAGATCTTGGAGGTGGCTTTAAGGGATGTCCAGAAGCTATGGGAGAGGAAGGAGTGGTGACTGTGTTTCCTGTGTCTATCACCGCATATCTGTCATGACAGCTGGCACAGCACCCAGGAAAAGGACCACCCTGAGGCTGGGAGCCAGCAGGGAAGGGTCCCCTGTGCCTGAGTGAGGCTGAGAGTAGCCCAGCCCCAGACAAAGAAATGTTCACCGAGACGTGCAGATTGTCAACCAGCCCAAGAGCCCATGAACTTCACTTAAATAATGTTTCCAGGAGAGTTAGTGATGAGAAAATATTTATTTACATTTGCTACCGAAGTTCCCTGGAGGCCCAGAGCCACCAGGTAGGGCTGGGAAGGTCCCCTGACTCTGTCCTGAATCTGGGCCATTACTGGGACTTTAAGAGCTGGAGGGGCAGCTGATCTTCCTCCGAGGCAGTGTCCTCCTCTACTTGGGAGGCTGGGGCTGGATTCTTCAAGGTGCCTGTAAATAGGATGGAGAGCACTGTGGCTTGGCCCTAGGGCTGTGTCCCCAAGAGGACAAACAGGAGGCGACCACAGCCATGAAAGCACATACTCTGTGTACAGCGGGTAATCCCGAAGTCCCCAACAATCCCTCTCTCTACCTCCCCCCTTCCATAAGCACTTCCTGAACCCCAGCTTGGTGCCAGTTGGGGGCTTCCTCCCAGAAGTTCAACGTTCCTTGTGGTAGAAACCAGGACACCTGAGACTTGCTGAAGAGCTGGAGGGAAGTGAGAAGTAGGTGTTCAGGGAAGGCAGCAGATTTGGAGACCCAGAGGAGCGGGAATGACACTTCCACAGAGAGCCAGGGAAAGCAAAGAACAGGGAGCACCATGGAGGGACCAGCTGCCGCGTGGAGGGAGGTGTTGGAAATAGGCGGGATTATAGCACTGGATCTTCACCTCCGCACTGAGGAGTGAGTCCTTCCTGGCAGTGGGAGGCATGGAGTGTGGGCCTCGTGTAGTTTCTGTCTGCCTCAGAGAGAGAAGCCCAGAGCAGAAAGACTTGTCTAAAGGAGAAGGTGAAGCCCTGAGCCCAGCAGTGGTGCAGAAGGGGGAGAAATGAGGGGTGGGGGCAGAGGGGTGAGTGGCTGCCTAGGAGGGGGACATTGAACAGAGATCTTCAAGGCCTCCTACCTGGGTGAGGAGGTGTGGGATTGCACACACACTACCCAGTAGGATAACCCCACAGTTCTTCCTATTGGGAATTTCCAGTTGGAAGCTCCAGCTGGCGGTGGGTATGGGATTGGGGTGTGGAATTCTTGGGGCAAGATCAGGGGCAAGGTGACTTTCAGAGTCTCAGCATTAAAGTGACAGAGTGGCAGGACTCAGGGGAAGGGAGACAAAAAGAGGGCAGGCAGAAAACCTGTGGGTTTGTGAGGGCCATGGTCACCTGGTCACTAGGGACCCAGGAGCCTGGGAGACCAGCAGGCTTTGGAGCCAGAGTCTGGAGGAGTACCCCCTGCGAAGGGGGTGATGCAGAGGTGATGCAGGTGCTGTCGTGGGGAGGGTTTGAAGTGGGAGCTACTGAAGATTCCAGAAAGGACATACTGTGGAGAAAGTTAAGCCTCAGAACAGGCCTCAGGGTAGAGACAGGAGGGGCTGTCCCCACACTAGAATGGACAGGACGCAGCCCACAACAGTGGGGGAAAAGCACCAGAAGTGACTTCTCAGGGCTGTGGGGGCTGGGGGCTCCTGTAGCCGGGGAAAGCTGGGGATCAACAAGCCTGGCCTATCAGTGGGGGCTCAGGGAGATGCCCCCGAAGCTGCGGGAAAGGTAGGAGGCCCTCTCTAACCTGCTCCCCGGCTGGGTCCCCAGGCTCAGCCCAGGGCTGGCGCTGGAGGGCCCAATGAATAGGCCCAGAGGCAGGAGGTGCGGGCAGGTTTAGGGCTGGAGGGGGGAAGCACCAACAGCCTCAGAGTGTCTCCCAGGTGACCGCCTGAAACAGGCCAGTAAGGAGGTGGGAGTGGAGAGGAAAGGTGGGAAGTGCTTCTTAGTGGAGCAAGCCTTGGACACAGGGGAGGTCCTGGCCTAGACTCTCCATGGCTGTGTGGCCGAGCAGACTCTCTCTGTCTCTCTCTCTCCAGGGCAGGACTCCGGCCACCGCCGCTACTCACCAGGGACGTCTGGCCCTGAGGGCTCCTCACAAAGGGACGGCAGTGTCTGCTCCCACGAGGCCCAGTTCACCTCCTCCACCCTGAGGGCCACAGAGCAGCTTTGAGGCTCCGGGAAGCCACCTGTGCCACATGCTCCGCCCCAGGAGAGGGGCGCGGAGACACAGGGTAGACCCGGGGACTGGGAGGAGGATGGGCTTTGGCCACCCCTTCTCCCCAGACACTAAGCCACCCACCATCCCGCTGTCCAGTTGCCACCAGGCTCTGTCTCCTGTGGAAGACTTTGTTTTCCGTGGGAGGGTTGTCGCCTCTGTGGTCAAGCTGGGAGAGTCGGCAGGCAGACCAGCCGGGCAAGGCTAGTGTGCTGTAACCTGAGGGTCCCTCTGGCTTCCTGGCCTCCTAACTGTTCCCCATTTCAGGCCACGGAGTAGGTCAGGAACAGCCAGAGGGGAAAGGCGGTAAGTGGCAGGCCTGGGCCTCTGAGATCCAGCATCCCTGACCTCGCCTGCCTGGGGCAGAGTGCCTGGTGCTCCTAGGCCCTGCCTTTCCCACCAGACCTGACTCCTGGTAGCTGTCCCCTGGCTTTTAAGAGGGTACAGCTGAAGAAAAATAAAAGAGAGAGTAAGGCTGGGGGCGCCAGTCAGAAGAGCATGTGACTCTTGATCTCCCAGTTATGAGTTCGAGCCCCACACTGGGTACAGAGATTACTAAATAAAAAATTTTTAAAAAAGAGTAAGGCTGGGGGCACCTGGGTGGCTTAGTGGGTTAAGCCTCTGCCTTTGGCTCAGGTTTTGATCTCAGGGTCCTGGGATCAAGCCCCGCATCAGGCTCTCTGCTCGGCAGGGGGGCCTGCTTCCCCCTCTCTCTCTGCCTGCCTCTCTGCCTATGTGTGATCTCTGTCTGCCAAATTAAAAAAAATAAATAAATAAAGAGTAAGGCTGGCCTGCCCCACAGCAGCCTCCAGGGATCACGGGGCAGCAAGGCCCCAGGCCGACTGCCCCTCACCTGCCTCCCTCCCTCACCTGAAGCACCAGCGGTCATCGGGGCTGCCATCCGGCCTGGTGCCAACAGTCAGCTTCACACCGGCCCGCTGCTTCTTCCTCCTGCACCACCAGTAGCCATTCTCCATCTCCAGGACAGAGATGGCTTTCTGCGGACAAAGGACACATGAGACAATAGCCAGGAGGATACCTCACAGCACTTGACAGTATAACCCCAGGTCTGCTACACAAGTGTATATGAGTCTACCTCCAACATTTGATTACCTGAGGGATGGAAGCCCCCTCAGGACCCCCTCCCCCAATCTCAGTTTCCCCACTTGCAGGTGGACGGGTGTTGGGAAGTCAGCCCATAATACGTGCTCAACAGTGACTTGGAGAGTTACAGATTCCAGAATTCCACATCACGAGGTGCCGGAGCTTGTCTGCTCTGCCCACACGGAGTCTGCCCCCTGGCACGGGAGGGAATTAGGTGGGGCATGGAACTTGCGGGTGAGGACGCTGGCTCAGAGAAGTAAGGGGTTTGCCCAAGGTCAACGGTGAATCGGTAAGAGTCCAGCTTCCCAGCAAGGCTCTCGGAGCACCAACTGCCCGCCCGCACCGCGACCCTTCTCTGGAGAAGAAGCAGCTACTGCTTTCAAGGTAGGCGGGTGTCACATCAGCCCCCAGCTACAGGGGCCTCTGCGCCCCAACTCCCGCAGACTGGCCCATCCCAGGACTGCACGTCCTGCCTCGCCCACCAAGCCGACCCCACCAACCGTATGAGAAACACAGAAGGTGAGCTACATGAGGGCAAGGATTCGATCTCGTTCTCTGCTGTGTGGTTCGCACCTAGAACCGAGCCGAGCCTCACG